TATAGGCTTTTTTATTCATCTCACCATAAAAACCTCTATCTTTCCAATAATACATATTACTACTTTTATTTATATATATTCTGAACATCACTAATTGTGTTTATTTGTTAGAGTCAATTAGGAATATTTACTGATTTTTCAGAATTTGGAATATTAAAGTAACGATTGTGGCCTTACATGGAACACTGTTTAATATTGTGGTGTAAGATGGATCATCGTCATCATCATAATCATCATCATGGTAAACAACAAGCAGAAAAAGCTAAATCCGTGCACCATTAAATAGCATCAAATGGATATATATTTATATTTATCTATAAACCTCATGAAAATAAAGTCAGGTATAAAAAACGCCTTCTGAAGGTTGTTGGTGTTCATCCTTCACGTCGTGCCTGGATTGAAACGTGTCCAACATGTGGTCCTTTCCCCAAAAGGAAAAGTGAATGCAGGTGAGATTAAAGCTGGTATTTATTGCGCCCCCGTCAACCCTCTCATTTGGGCCCTCTCCGACAGCCAGGGGTCCTCCCTCCCTCCCCTCCCTCTCCACCCAGGGCCTACCTCGGAGCGGTGGAGGCTGCGTCACGTGTTTTATCCTCCCGTACAAAATTTCCAGTAGGGGAGCGAATAGGAGCACACCCATATCAGCAATTATCAGCGACGGTTACTATCTCCAGATATACCGGCGGGGGGAAGAAGAGTCACCGCAGTCGTCCCGGATTCCCACAACAACAAAAACCTCGGGGTTCATTCATCTCCGATCAGTGCGCGTAACTTTTATGCATAAAAAAACCACCAAAGCCGTTTGGAGACGCTACCCCTGCGCTGCGTCACCCGTCTGTATGTGAGTCCGTCTGTGTGGAGCGACAGAGTTAGCCCGATTCGTGGACGCCTCAAGGACCCGGACTGCTTTATCACCCGACCGTCCTTATCTGGTGAGATAATACACTGAGAGCCCTTTGGAGAGAGAAAACGCCGTTCCCCGTACACCGAGCGCTGCTATCAGCGTTTTGTGTGATTTGAGTTCCTACTGATAGAAAAGGGTTGCGTGCTGTTTGATTCGGTTTCCGTTATGATTGTGATTTAATGAGGCAGCGGCAGGATATCTGGGGCCCGCCGATAGTCGCCTCCATCTGCACGGACTCTTATCAGCGCTCGTTTAAGTGCATTTTCATGTCAGTCGCAATGGTGCAGGTGAAATATGGCTGATGACACTGAATGATTGCTGGAGATTTTATTTTTGAGTTCTATATTTTCATAAGCAAACATCATAGTTTAACTCTTGCAAATTATATTTTGGATTGAAACGCAATAAAAACTGACTCAAAATGTGAAAATGCAGTCTTTTCTTCTGCTCTCACGTTTATAAAATCTCACTCTGATTATTTCTGTTCACAGGACAAGAATCTCCACAAGAAGTCTATTAAGTCGTTGGCTCCAAAAGACACAGACGGACTCTTCTGAGGAGGCTGGACAGGATCCCCCAAAACGGTTTGTGAAGATGTATCAGAGCCTGGCCCTGTCCTCCAACCAGTCCCCGTACGCGCACGATACCGGGAATTACATCCACCCGTCGGCCAGCTCTCCGGTCTACGTCCCCACCACCAGAGTCCCCTCCATGCTGCCCACGCTGCCTTACCTGCAGACCTGCGACTCGACCCACCAGTCCCACGGCCTCGGCGGGCACCACGGCTGGCCCCAGACCGGCGCGGACGGCTCCTCCTTCGCGCCCGGCAGCCCTCACCCTCCGCACGGCTTCTCGTACTCTCACAGCCAGCCCGTCAGCAGCAACACCGGCCGGGACGCGACCTACCAGAGCCCGCTGGTCCTCGGCAACGGCGCTCGGGCAGACCAGTACGGGGGCGCACTGGTGCGCTCGGTCGCGGGATCCTACTCCAGCCCCTACGCGTACATGAGCCCGGAGATGGCGACGTCCTCCTGGACGCCGGGGCCCTTTGAGAGCGGAGTGATTAGTCTGCAGGGACGGCACGGAGGACTGTCCGGGAGGAGGACCAGTCTGGGTAAGCACGGGGCCCCGAAACTAGTTTAGACGTCGTGATCATGAAGTGAGTTTTGATTCTTGAAGTCAACCCTGAAATGTATTATCATAACCTGGAAAAGATAGAAACACATATCAGTAAAGCGACTCTGTGAGGAAATTATAAAATATTATATGTTTTATATGTATAGTTAGAATTAGAAATTAAGAATATTTAACATTCTGGCTATCACCAAAATAATATTAATAATATTAAACAATGGAATTTGTTTAAATCTAAAAACATTAAATCTTTAGTCTGAACGGTGTTTTTTTTTATTTAATCTGCGCACTCATTTTAATTTCCAGTAATTTAAAAAGTGTAAAATCACACTTGGATTATTAATATTCCTATGAAAATGCATATAATCCTCATGGGTCGTCTCCTCCAAATACACCGATAACGAATGTATTCGTTCATATTTTCCAATCAGTTATATTCGTTTCATTTTCGTCCAAAATATATCAGCAAATGAACAACGAAACCACATTTCTGGACATTAATATGACCATGTTATTGTTATACATGTCTATGAGGTAACTTATTTTCCCTTTATCTCGACACTCGGCCTGTAGCGTGCCAGCGGTTGGTGCGTTCGTTTATCAGGGATCGTAAACGCCATGTTATTAATTATAGCAGAGAGGTGATAGAGAGGTTTCTAACAGTGATGGCTGTGTCACGGGGGGGGGGATTCAATCAAATTCCCCTAAACAATCCTGTATCACATTTAGACAATACGCATTATTTGCATTCTTCCTGGAAGACAGGGTTTAAAAAACAAAACAATCAATTAAACATGTTAATTAAATCCCGAGGCAACAGTCCAGCGTTGTGATGACACGGTTCAATACACACGGAGACACACACATAAAGAGTGGCACAACAATCAGAGCAGTTATCACCTTGTTCAGAAGACAGAGAAGGTCCGTTACGAGTTTGTGTTTGATGATTTTGGCCTTTAGACGCTTTCACACGTCACGATTTGATCTAATTTCGTTGATTTGTGGAGGAAATTCACACCGAAGCGCTCCTGTATATTTATAATACAATTATTTCCTCTCTTCCTGCAGACAGAGGCGTGTACGTAACATCAGCTTAGTGCTGCAGTTAAACATGTTAATGGTTATTTCAAGTGTTTTGTTTTTTGTATTTTTACTGGTTGTCCTCGAACCCCCGGCTCAGCATTTATTTTCTGATGTATTCCCATTTTGTTCTCAAGGAAAATCAAAAGCCAAAATCACATCATTGGAAGAAAGCCAGCAGGCAGACCTTCATCCCTGACCTGTGGGGTCTTCCTCACGAGGTCTCGCTCTAAATTGAGGAATTAGGAATGTGGGCAATTGAAGCCAGGAGTCCGTCGTGTGTCAGAGCTGTGATGGATGGGTGGGTGGGTGGGAGGGGGGGACCCCTGGATTCCACAGGCTGATAACGTAGCACCCCCCCCCCCCCCCCCGCGCGCACATTCTGTCTCTCTTTCTGATTCATTCTGGGGGGGGGTTTGATCTCACTCTCATCACAGAGAGGAAGGGGGGGGATTCCTCCCCCCCCCCTGCCCACCCCGCCCCCGTAGTTTAAGGTTGATCATTCACAGATTGATACAGCTGTTTTAAAAACAACTCTCACAGGATATTTGCAATAAATAAATAAATTAATTAATTCATTAATTCATACTTAAATATTTGCTGGATTAATAATGCAATTAAAATGTTCTCTTAACAACCCATTATATAATTCTCTATTTATGTCTTGTTGTGTGCAGACCTGATCGACGACATGTCCACCGAGGGCCGAGAGTGCGTCAACTGCGGCTCCGTATCCACGCCGCTGTGGCGCCGGGACGGCACCGGACACTACCTGTGCAACGCCTGCGGCCTCTACCACAAAATGAACGGCATCAACCGGCCTCTCATCAAACCGCAGAAGCGATTGGTGAGACGCGCGAGGAATGACCGACTGACTGATGTGTCATTTAAAAATGTACTCTACAAGTCTGATGTGCTTGTATATTTACATGTTGTGATATTCTATGTTGTGCTTTAGGTGCCAGATTAAGTTACAAATTCCTTCACAGATTATCATGTTATTCGAAACATCTGATCAGTGAATTAAATATGATATATTGTTATCATTTAAAACTATAATAATAGTAATAATAACAATGATAATAATGATATCTCAAAATCAAGGGAAATTCACAGATAGTAATAAATAAAGGTTTGATACAGTGATGATGACAAAAATGTGTTCTACACATATTGTGTTTATAATGTATTGAGATTTTTAAATACTTATGAATGGAGGACTAGTCAGAAATGAGTCAGACAGCAAAACAACATCATTACGTGAAGAATGCTCTAAAGATGTAATCTTCTTTAGGTCAGAGCAGGTCATTTCCCATTTTGTGGTTGTGCGGTGAGGGTGTGTGTCAAGGCTTCACAGCTGTACATTTCCCAGGAACCCGCCTCTTTCTAGAGCAGCTGTGCGTTGCCCAACATCTCCTCCTCACCGCCGGGCTGCTCTCCCTGTTTTTATTTGCCCCTGCAGTGACCTTGCCCTTGGACGGGGCCGCTTTTAGACGAGGGCCCCTCCAAAAGCAACGTGTCGCTGCTTCTTGCTCAGCGCTTGCTGCTGACTGACAGTCACACCGCAGTGGCGAGACAAAAAAGACATTATTTATGGTTGTCTGAGGAGTTATTGGAACTTTTACAAGCAGTATGTGGAGGGATCATTGTTGTACCAAACCGCGCACAGACATCCTGCGATTCATTCTAAAAGTTAAGGGAACAGCTCAACTCGAGCTTCTCAAACTACACCTCAAGGGTACGAATATGTGAGCTGGGAGACTATTTCTGAATGCACTGGCATTATTTGATTTTCAACCCAAACAAAAGTCAAACTGTTTTGACTTTTGACTGTTTCTCCCTCCTCTAAACCTGCAGCAGATCACGTCTCGCCGGGCCGGCCTCTGCTGCACCAACTGCCACACCAGCACCACTACGCTGTGGAGACGCAACGCTGAGGGGGAACCTGTGTGTAACGCCTGCGGCCTCTACATGAAGCTGCACGGGGTAGGTCGCAACATGGGGGGTCCACTTGTTCAAATCTGCTGCATTATCTGGCCTGCAATGCAACTCATGCTACAGTCGGGAGTGGTTGATTACTTGTGCAGCGTATAAAACTCTCCAAGGGCATCGTGGTCACTGTTATCAGTGTGGGAGGGGAGCTCGTGTGGGTCGCCATGACACCGCGGCCTCATGGCGTATCGGGGACAGGGAGGTACGCTCAGCTAATGTGGGTTTGCTCTGTACTCCCTGCAGGTGGCCAGACCTCTGGCCATGAAGAAAGAGAGCATTCAGACCAGGAAGCGCAAACCCAAGATGCCCAAGAACAAAATGTCCACAGGTAGGGGCCGACTGATGAAGAGAAAGGGGGAGAGTGGGGGGAGTGGGGTGGTGTGAGAGTAGGAGACGGATGGCAAAATCTAAACCCACAGTTTGATTTGCTTTTCATTTTAAAATGGAATATCTAAAGATTTTCAAAAGCAATTCGGGGTCAGAAGAGTCAGAATCAGCAAAGCACAAGTCGTTGTGAAAAGCAACTCATTTCCCAATGTCCTGTTTTGTCTTCAGGATCCGCCGCCTCTGACACCAGCTCCCCAACCTCCCTGTCGGTCTCAGAACACGCCTTGACCATTAAGAGCGAACCCAACATGGCCCCATCGCCGTACGCTGGACAGACGGTCACGTCTGCTACTCAGGTAAACCTCCTTTCCACTCAAATGTATAATGCATAGCGTGCAACGGCATTTTGCTCCAAAAAAAACCCCATGCAACGTTAACCTGACCATTAGCACACTCGCTAGCTTAGTTGCTGTTGGTACAACAGGCATACCGCTTCTTCAGAATCCTTATTTGTCGCATCGGCCCTTGTCTCATATCAGCAAACAGTTCCTATTTCACGGAGCAGTTTATACAGAGGATATTTCTGTACATGTAGTATTTGTGTATTCATGTGTAGATTAAAATATATGCCATATTACTACCTAACCTCAATCGACACCCCTCCCTCACCCGGATTACTAGTAACTCCATTACAATACACCCGGTGTACCCATTATTGTACGCTCAACGCAACTGATGTAGTATAAACACCGAGGAAGTCCTCTCAGGGCGGGTGGGAGCAGTGGTGTATGGGACCTTTACTCTGGGGTACCGGTGTTCATGTCCGGTTTGAAACCACAAGTTGAGTTATTTGGACCGACGACGCTATGTTGCTACGTCACTGAGTCACATGACATTACGTCCTTAGCTTAAGTTATGTAACAATAGTTATTTTAAGCCAAAACATGACGCTTTTTTTCTTACCCTAACCAAGTAGTTTTGCTGCTTAAATCTAACCGCCACCGATTCACAATGTTGACCAGGCGTCGACCTTCTGCGTCGAGATTCTACGCAAAAAGGTGACTTCTGCCCAAAATGTGATGAGTAGGGATGAGATCCCGTTGCCATGGCATGCATTCATCGGTTCACCAAAGTTGAACTCTTTGCGAAACTTCACCTTCACTTTTCTCAACCCTTGCATGGGAATTCACTGACAATGGCTAATCCATTGGAATTAGCTGATATTGCTGCGAAATGTTGACATCTTAAAGTCAACACAGATGACATCATCAGCCTTTAGAAAAAGCTCCCTACAGAGCCGCAGAGAACATTCTACAGCTGGTTTCACAGACTAAGTAGCCCCCCCTCATGATGAGCAGTTTTACTTTTATGTGTAAAGTCCGATTATTTTTTGCTTAAAATGTCTCTTTCCTCCCCCGCAGGCGGCGTCTCAGTTAGACGGCACAGGATCGGGACACGTGGACGTTAAATACGAGGATTATCCCTTTACCCCGAGCTCCATGGCCCCACAGAACTCCTGGTGTGCTCTGTCTCAAGCGTGAGGCCGACCGACGCCGCAGAGCTCTCCGTCCTGCAACTCTCCACGCTGGAGCTGTGGGACAAAACTGTGACTATCTGACGGCTCCATGTGTTCAGGCGCTCTGTTGGACGCCTTGATCTAATCCACTTGCCATACTATATACTGTGACACACTGGCTCTGCGACGGGACACAGGGTACGGGGCTGCCGTTACAAAAGGATGCGTACACAGCACGCCGACTCAACGGCTCAGCCAGGGCAAAGAACACAGCTGAACTAGGACAAAAAAACCTAAGGCTGGCTCTGCTGAACTCTCACCCAACAAGCTACATTTCCTCAGCGGGACAACAAGACCTACCTTTTACTAAAAGAAATCTCTATTTTTTGGAGAAACTCTCACCAATTATAGCAACGCAGAGACAATCAAGTGGAATGTAAAATAAAACATGGATACAATAACCTCTTTTTTTATAGCTGACAACTGGTTTTAGCTTTATGTAGAGTTGTTGTTGTGGCTGGTGTTTGCCGATACCCTTCTGTGGTCTTTTCAAGAACATAATGAGAGCAGTTTACGCATATTATTGTCATCGCAGAGGAAAAAAAACGGATAATGGACAGAAAAAGACCTTTTTTATGGCTGTTGAACATGTCTCATTACAGATGTGGAGATGATTAACCTTTATGGGCACATTATTTATGTTGAGATAAGGACAGTTAAAAGTCATGGTGGACACTAATAGCAGCCAGATATAGCCCCGCTGCTCACTGTTGTAGAATGGCCGGTGTGTTGACGCTGAGGTTGTGTGAGTGACTTTACAAGATATAAACTGCATCGATTTGATGATGCATTTGACAATCAGAACCAGTCGTCTTGATTCTGACATCATGACTACATATCAGAATTTTGTTTCATTTTACTGCTTTAATATTTGACATTAATGAAAGTGCAATGACTCAGTTTTTCATTTAAGCAATTGAAAGCACAAAAAAATGAGTGTGAATGATTCTAAACATAATAATCTAATTTTATTGTCTGTATTTTGTCAATAAGGGATTTTTATTGTTATAATGTTCCAAAGAACTCTCTATTTTCCCTCTCTTTTCAATGCTCTTTGGAATCTGTTCAGGTTAATAAACTGATTCACATAATATTCATTTGATTTATGAAAATTTGTTTGGTTTTCGAGTAAATTTCCCGAATATCTTCAGTGTACTTGAGATGGTGTGCTCTTTGTGCTCAGAGATGGATTTTCATGTCAAAAATGTGTGGTTGCCAACAGCACCATCCAAATGAGTAATCATGAATGGGTTATGAATGGGATGTTAATACTGTTCATTAGACAAAACTGGATGAAATATTTTTTCATACAATACAACAGGTTTAAATCGTACTATTGTACTGTATTCATGAGTGATTGATTGTAGGCTTTCTGACCAGTCATCCTTTACTTTTAGCTATTTAAACTGTTATTACAATATAATAACTAACTCTTCCAACCCTTTATCCATTACTTTTAGCTGTTTATACATACTTTTTTAGCTATCTCTTACGACTCTTAGCTAGATTTCAACTGTTTATCCATTATTTTTAGTGAACTATTTCAACTGTTTCTACATTATTTTTTAGCAAAGTCTTCATCCATTAGCTCACTTTTTCAACTGTTTAAACATTACTTTTAGCTAACTCTTCTAACTCTTCATCCATTACTTTTAGCAAAATATTTTTACTGTTTATATATTACCCTTCCATCACTTCATAAATGTATACAATATTTTAACTCACACACTCAATTGCAACATGCAGAGACAAATGAATGAATGGTTATAGGCAGCTTACTGGTTATTGCATACATCTAAGATCAGCATCACACTGGTTGATAATCCTATTTCCTTAAACATCCTGTGCTCTATTCACAGTAGAATTATATGGCCATATCTTCTCACATTTACCATTATATTTAGGTTTGTAGTTCACATCCCTGCACTGCATTGTCTATTGGTTGTTGGTGCATTTGCATGTATATTTAGCAAATCTATATTAGCCCATGCTCCAATGCACATAGTCAGCTATATGTGTGTGTGATTTCATATGTTTGTGTGTGTGTACAAGAAGGGTGTGTTCTCCTGCTGGTTGCTTAAGCCGACAGCGTCGACCAAAGGTTGCGTTCCAACTCTGCTTTATGGCGGCCGGGTTCGGATTGAACGCAGCGTTGAGGAAAATACAGGCCTGTCAGCAACAAGGCTGCTGCTTTACTGCCGCTGTGGCGACATCCAGGCACCGATGCACCACCGGCACTGCCCTGCTTTATGACTGTTGGCCAAGATGTTGCCGTCTTATCTGTTGCTGGGAGAGGCCTATATTCAGTCTCACGTCTGGGAGGGAGAAGAGTAAAGTGGATGTCAAATATAATGTCTAAAAATACTATTATTCACTGGTATATTAAAAAAAAAAATTTTTTTTAATATACCAGATAACCTTTTTTAGATAGATTTTTTAATATATATTTTTTATATATCAGATTACAGTTATTTTATTCTCTTGGTAAATATTTTCGAAAGACTCAATTTTAAGAAAGAATGCTGAGAATCGATGTAGTAAAGCCTGAGATACCTTGACTTGGTCCCACGTTGGTACCACTTTGATTTAATAAATAAGCAGTGTACAAATGTAACAAATTACTTATAACACACTATAAAGTAGTTTCATCAATTAAACAAGTGATTAAGAGTAACAGAGAATATATGAGAAACATTTCAAATGTGTTCCAAACTCGACTTCAGAAAAACTACTTTGACAAAAAAACTAAAAACAACTCAAGGTTCACTTACTAGCCTTCTTCCGGAGCTGTCACCCACATCTCATGGACTTCATCAACAGATGGAGTTTGCTCACATGTAATAATACACGTCAAGATATACAATCGATAAATACTTCATGCTCCCTATGAAGACATGAAGACATTTTTTCTATGATTACAACCGAGTTATGTGACATCGTCAAGCATTCATTATCTCTTCTTTCACAGTTGTTGACCAATACATTGATAAAAATGTCCTTATTTCAACTTACAAGTACAGTATAATATATTTTAACAATTTGTTAATGTTTGTACACTGCTTATGAATGCTAAATAGTGGGGTTTAAATGTTACCCAATTCCACATCGATCATACTTTGTACCGCAGGCTTTCCGTTATAAATGTGAAGTTCACATCTAAGATGAATAGTTGAGCAGCTCCTAAAAAGGTAAATTAAACTTCTTAAAAGCTACAGCATCAATGTAATAAAAATCCTCAACTATTGTAACCTGAAAGTCAATCGCCCTATTCTATCTCTAAACAAACACACACACAGTGAGCTACCAGCCCTATAGCTCTTCTATAGGGTTGTCTGGTAACCGCAGGGTCAACGGTTCGATCCTCGACTGGGACGTGTCACGTGTCGAAGTGTCCCTGAGCAAGACACTGAACCCCCGGCTCCCCGGGCGCCTGTCATTGGCAGCCCACTGCTCCCTATATACAGGGATGGGTCAAATGCAGAAGTCAAATTTTGTGTTTGTGTATATGTATATGACAATAAAAAGGGTTTCTATTTCTATTCTATCAGTGAGGGCTAAGTGATAAAGAGAAAGCTCCTCCACTCAAACAATTCTTACGGCCACATTTACACTCAATTGTTGTGGAATTGAGTGTCTTCATTACTGCCTTGTCACAATAAGACCTGTAGTGTGTGAGTGGAGGATGAGGTGTGGGGCTGCTCTAAGACCTCCTGTACTGTGTCAACATCAAACGCACCCCTTCCATTGGCTCTGGGTTTGTTTCTTTTAACTACACAAATATCAAAGATAACTTATTGCAAATACGGTTTTCAAAAATGACCAGGTGAACTTACCTACCAGTAGTTTAACTTGCTTGTCCCCTATTACACCTTCTGAGAGTAACTATATAGCTAACATAACGTTAGCCTATTAGCTGTTAGCCTCACAATCAATTGTGTGTATTTCATCAGGTTACTTGAATTGTCACTCTAATTACGAGCCGTGTGCATCCCTTTTTAGTGTCCCCTGGAAACAGTTTCCGCTGTCACCGTCATGTGAGCTGCTTGCAGCGCGTTTCATTTTTGTATTTGCAGTGAGCTTTCTACATGCTACATTGGTGTTGGCCAATTTCTTCAGTCATTTTTGTGCATGTCCCGACAAGAGCCATGCAATGAGGAACAAATATATACGGCCGTGAATTCATACCATTTCCCTTTGACCACCTCTGTTTTTACTGCTTTACACATGTAACTTTACAATTGTTGGGTGAAAAGGGCTAATACGTTAATTTCAACCAACAGCCGGTGGTGACAAAGAAGCCTTGGATTTGATTTAGACCTGGAAGCATCAAGGCTGCGGTGGGACCGGTGTCAAGGCCGTGATGACTGCCGCGTGATGACTCTGTAACAACTTTTGAGTTTGGTGTGTCAGACCTCCCCGTGTACCCTGACCCACACTTTAGGAGGGAGGATTTGCTTTAGTTGTGTGCATATGTGCAAGAGAGAGAGATTCATCTCCTGAGGGCCTTACATTTCCCCTTACTTCATGTTCTCGGCAGCATTCTGTCTTCCTGGATGTACTCTGCGACATCTAAGTGTGTGTGTGTGAGTGTGTGTGTGCGGTGTTACAACTCAATTCCTGGACTGACATGCGGGAAAGGGCCACGGTCCAGCAATAACACGAGCGACCGATAGTGAGAAATGGCTTTTTTTTTCTTCTTCTTTGTCTACAGCCGCAGACGGTCGTTCCCAGGGCTGTGCTCCTCGACTGTTCCATTCAATTACTGCCTGCAAACAAACAGGATATTCTCTTCTGTACTGTGGGTCCTTGTTGGGTTACTGCCTTTTGTGTGTGTGTGTGTGTGTGTGTGTGTGTGTGTGTGTGTGTGTGTGTGTGTGTGTGTGTGTGTGTGTGTGTGTGAGAGACTAAGAGTGAGTGTAGCACACACATTTATTCAACTCATTTTCAGCCATTAAATCAAAACTTCCGCCAGCTGTCTGCTCAGTGATTCACCCCGAGGTCCCATTCTTCACTCTGTGTGTGTGTGTGTGAGTGTGTGTGTGTGTGTGTGTGTGTGTGTGCGTCTGTGTGTGTGTGTGTGTGTGTTGCACTTAGATATACTGTGTGTTTGCTGATCGTTCTCGTGGGATGTTCATGCAGCTCTAATCACCGCCTGTGTTGTGGTGTCTCTGGGCTTCAACCCATCGTTTCCTCGGGACAACAGAGATAAAGCACAAACGGAGGCTGAAGAGGCCTGCCACTCACATCCAGAGCTCTTAAAACTGCAATAATCCTGCAGTAGAGTTAAATGATTCTGTAAACTACACATTATATGATAAATAGATCGGCATACTGTTGGAAACATTCTGCTGCTCACTAACTCAAAGTGAAGGTCACACATATGTTTTGCCCACTTCATGAATTTTATTTTGACAATTTATCTACAATAAGAGTTCCTCTCCCGACAACTATTATTTTTCTCAACGCAACTTCACCGCAATGTTTATTTTCACATTCACTTTCAGTTCATCAGACATTTTTATTGACTATCACCAACATTTTGTTGCGTACTACTTAATTAATTAATAACTACAACAACTGTGTATAAGGTTACATTAAGGGGGACACGTCCTCAGCGGTCTGAAGTCCATAAAACAAGGAGGGCAAAAGGTGTAATACAACAAGGGCTCCATAAACCAAAGTACATCTTACCTGGGAGGAGGTGGAGAGAAGGAAAACACACACACACACACACACACATAGATGTATGGCTGACGTTACATTTCACCTGAGATGTTGTTCATTAGAATAAAATGCTAATTATAGCACCTCTTTACAGTAAATCACATGTTCCATAATTTACTGGATTAGAAACAATAATGTTGGATGAATGGAATTATATTGAGGAAATCATTTAATTTAATTATCTTTTGGTGAAGTGCCTTCATGTCCTGTACTTCTTTCTGACCTCTGCTTTGGGGTCAGTGGAGGTGTCTGATTTGTCACCATTGTTCTGCTCCTCTCTGAGGTGAGATGAGCATTGTTCCTCAGCATGCTCCTCATTCCTCACCCCTCCCTCCCTCCCTCCCACTCATTAACCTTTCACTAACCCAA